TCAAAAAGTCCTCAACAATTTTTCATGGGTTACGGTAACTATGGCCGGAGAAGTAATTACTACAATGGAATGTAGTCATTGCAACTATTTTATAGTTCTACTCGCGATAGATTTGTCGTGGTTACTTTTGAACTTTGGTTAGTTTAACTGCATTTTGATTTGCAAAAATTATGCTTGTGAAGTTACTATAATGTTACGTGCCGCATACAAAAAAAAATCGTATCGTTCGCCAAAACTGCCTCAACTATTTTCTTATGGTAAATCGAACTTCAGATTTTTCTCTCAGTGCACATCTATGTGACGTCATAGGAAATGATTGGATGGAATTTGGATGAGGTAGGAGGGGAACCGGAATTATTCTCAATATGAATAACCAGAAAATTTTTACTGAAAAAAATTGATAGTCCTGACCGGGGTTCACACTCGTAAAAATGCCGCCTCACTCGTATCGAAATATGCTATTTTGACACTGCTGCTACGATCACCTCGTGCCGAAAAGTGCCTTTTCGTTTACACGTAAACGATATCACTATAATTTCCATGGAATGATGGCATGTACGATAAAAATGAAAAACTGTGGATGAAATTGAAAAAGAATGAGATCATTCTCAAGCATTATCCGCGGAATGATAATGAAGATACTTTGTTACAAATACTCTTTCCAGAATGAAACTCATGCCTTTAATTTTAGCTCAATTTTTTCTCGAGGCAATACTTTGAAAGAGTTTATCGTACAGATATTTCTGTTTACCTCTTGGGCTGCTGTTGCCAAGTTTAATCGGGTATTATCGGTGAATGGGTTGGAAGAAGTTTTAAAAGTACTCTCCATAATAAAGCTAAAAATATGGAAATTCCAAACTCATTCAACTTTTTAAATTCCCATTCGGATGAGAATATCTCCTTATGTCCTTATGCTGTAATGAAAACTATTCATATTTGTCATGAAAAATAGTCTGCGTTTCTACAGCGAGTGGGGGAGACTAACACTCGAAGGGGGGGGGATAAAAGAGGGGGAAGGATGAGCCATTAACGGTAGTAATATCGAGTGGAGTGTAAAAATAACGGGGCATAAAGTGAGAAGATGAAGGAGATCAAAAAGAGGAGAGGGGGAGAAATAAAAAAACAGCGAGAAATGTGAATGAGCGAACGAAAATATCTCGCTGCGTTTCTGCAATACTCAAACTAATGTTTTTTTCCTCTCATTTGCATCTGTTTTTGTGTTTGCCACCGAGTTATTATTATTATTCTCCATTCGCGGGTACTCGGGGGAGTCAAGTGACAAACGGAAGTATGCACTTTTTATTCATTTTTCTTTCAGCCAGTCAAGTTGAAAAGATAATAAAAGAAACTGAGAGATTCTCACCTCGTTGCTTCTCGTTGCACTTTTTTACTGTTAAATTAGTTTCTGTGTTTATCAGTTTCATCTCTCGTAGAATTGGATTGTAATTCCTTTACTCTGAGCGGGATATAACGGGGAATTGTTGACCTGGGGCAATCTCAGTGGCAGATTTTCACTTTCAATTTTCAATTCAGTGCGGAGGACAATGGATGGAAATCCATTCGCTCTATCTGTGATGTTCCTTCCTGAATCTATTCAATTTTTTTCACTTCTATCGCTTGTGGATTGTTTGCGAGTCGTTTTCCACTTTCCTTTTATCACATCATCTTCCGAAAAACGACGAGCCGGCATGAGGGAACAATCATATCACTGGGCAATGGCGTTGTGAATGGGTTTTGGAAGGAAAAAATAACGATTACGAGTTTGTCGTGGTGGATTTTTTTCCATTTATCCTTCAGTTATCAACGGACAATAACAATCCGATAAAATTTTTCATCGCTGGTTTGAATTATTGGCTGATTTTTTTTATGTATTCTATTTTCATAGAATTTTTTATGTATTCTATGAAAATTGAATACATAAAAAGGATAGGAATTGAATTTATGGATATTGGCTCATTGTTTGAAAAAATATTTCAATTTTAAAATTTACCCTAGACGTTGAAAAATTAAAAATTCTGTTTTCGTGTTGATCTCGTTTCTCTTCCTCTTTTCATTTTCATCCATCAAAATTAGATAATAGAAAGAAAATACATTGGTTTGTCTTCATTATTTTAAAAAAACGTGAAATTTTCAAGATTGAATAATCGATTTTTTAAATTTATTTTGGATTTTACTTGTTTATTTCCTGTTTCTTTGAACGGAATACGATCACAGAAATTAAAAATATTAATCTTCCTCCATTTTTTACGAAGAACAATTTGAAAAATTTCGAAAAGACACAGAAACATAGATTTTTTTATTTTATTGATACTGATTGATGATGATCCATCTCTCTTTGCAATTTCTTTCTTCGCTTCCATTGAAATGAGATCACAGGAATGTTAAATGTTCATATTCGTTCACATTTTCAGATTGGTACTAATTAATTTAAAGATTAAGAAAAAAATGAAAAATTTTAGTCATGATTATTGAAAATTGTGTGTCGATCTGTATTCTCGTGTGATTTATGGAGAATTCTTCTTCATTCCATGTTGTAATTTGTGAATTAAGGAACAAAAATATATATAATAACAATAAGAATGAATAAAATTAAATTAATCAAATTATGCAGACGGAAATGGAAATAAAATAAAATAAAATAAGAGTAGAAATTAATCTAGCGACGGGCGCAAAGCGCCCGTTCTCTAGTCAACGGCTTAAATGGGTGTCTGGGTGTACATCTCTTTTAACCCGTGGGAATGCCTTCGCGTGTCCCGGAAGAGAATTAAAGACAGCAAGTAGTGGGGTATCATTCATCGTTTCGTCCCTTCACCCTTCTTCATTTATCGTAAAAGAGGGGAGAAAAGTAAAATCTGCGGTCACAGACGAAGTGGAGGTGAAGTGTTTCGTGTAAAAAATAATGACCCGAATTGAGTGGAAAATTAGAGGCTTCAGTCCACTTTTTCCTCCTTGCAATTGTAGTTATTACGGAATTCCGAGATTTGAGGGGAATTAATTTTGCGGATGAGAAAGAGGAATGGGGGATATGTGAAAGCACTCAATCCTATTGATCTCTGGGATTACAAAATTTATTTACACAAGACAGTATTATCTGTGAAATCCTCATTATTTTAATTGGTCTATAAAAAACACAATTGGCACAGGCTCTTAATTCATCAAATTAAGATATCAGCGAGAGCATTTAATTAGTATTAATTAAGTATCTGACGTAGATGAACACAGAGTACTTGACAGATCTTTCGATCAGGTACAGAAGAAATTGTGATTCATTGAAATTAAACTCAAATCAATAATTTCATTATTGATAGTGTTGTTAGAACATTCAGAGTATTGAAAAAAAATTACAATGATGTTCTTATTTCTATTGATCACGGAAGCTAATAATAAAAAATTGGCAGTACCATCCATTAGTAAAGTGGTAAAACGTAATGAGTCTAATATTTTAGCGTTGTATGGCCAGAGGGGCGTAAGTGGTGTGTATAAACATAGCTGTTATGCCTCTTTGGCTCTACGACGACGACTTGATTTTAGAGAAACAACGATAAAAAAAAAATTTAGAAAAACAGATCAGAAGACTTTTATTTCTTACATTTTGCCACTCCTCTGTTGAGTCCGTCTCGTTGAGTGGTAATTACAATTTCAAATAGTGGCTTTACAAGAAAAATTTTTGACCTTTTCTTACAGCTGAGAAAATTTCCCACGAAGATTGTCTTCACATCCTCCTTTAGATCCACTCATTACGAAGATAATTCCGTAACTAACATCTTGTTGAATGTTAAATTATTCAATTAATGAATGGGTCTCTGTAAAATTATCAGAAGGTATTGTTTATAGAAAATCTCCCTGGTTAGAAATAATGTTTCAACATTTCCTTCTGAGTCAACTCCTTATATTTTGACACTCCACTACTGAATTCATCTTATTGAGTGGTGAACTACCCAATTAGAGAGTGACATTTATAGCATAATGTTTTTACTTTCTCTCAGCTGAAAAAAATGTTTCACGAAAAACATCTTCACATCCTTCTTGAGATCCACTCATTACCAAGATAATTCCGTAACTAAAATCTTGTTGAATGTTAAATTATTCCGTTAATGAGTGGGTCTCTGTTAAATTATCAGAAGGTATTGTTTGTAGAAAATCTCACTGGTTGCAAAAACTGTTTCAACATTTCCTTCTCAGCCAATTCCTTATATTTTCACACTCCACTACTGAATTCATCTCATTGAGTGGTGAATTACCCAATTAAAGAGTAACATTTATAGGATAATTTTTTTACGTTCTCTCAGCTGAAAGAAATGTTTCACGAAAAATGTCTTCCATGTCTTCCATCCATAGAATCCATTCATTACGAAGATTGTGGGGTTGTCTCATGAAATTTTTCTATTGAAATATGAAAAGTTATGTCCAATTAAAGAAACATCCGCATTATGACGCCACAAGGCAGATATTTCAATTGCCTATAACTTATTGATTTTTTATTATTTATCGAAATAAAAAAAAAACGTATCTAAAGTTTTTCATCCAACTTTCAACAAAAAATTCATATAAAACCTCAATTCAACAACTAACATTTTGTTGAATATTAAGTTATTGATAAATTTAGAAGGAAACGCTCAGCAGAAAATTTACTTTAATACCCCCTCCTCGCCAAGATAACATGTATGAAAACATTCAATAGAAAAACTTAGCGAATTCGCTAGAAAGGTTTATTGGAATTCTCGTTAAAATTCTGTTTGGTTTTTACGCAGATTCTGTTAGATATTTAATAGGAAAAAGTCAATAGATTTCGATTTTTTGTTTGAATTTTTCTCTTGAGATTTTTTCCATTAAAATTCTTGGGCACGGATTTTCCAAATTTTTTCCGCTATATTTTATTTTACTTTGCATTACAGGATCCAAGTGAAAAAAACTTGGAAAACTCATGCGCAAGTGTTCTTATAGGAAAAATTCTAAGAGAATATTCGTATAGAAGAATCGAAATCTATTAACTTTTCTTATCAAATATTTAATAGAATCTGTGCAAAAAAGAAATAGAATTTTAACGAGAATGCCAATAGAATTTGCTAGCGAATCGCTAAGTTTTTCTATTGAAGTTTAACATACGTGAATTTTCCAATTACGTTTTACCCCATCACTTCTTCATCAGTTTCCCACGTCTGTCAAACGTCAAATTACGTTAATTGTTATTCACTGTGCATTTCACCTATTTATTTCACACAAAGTAAGCAGCTAATTGCGCCATCTTGTCCTTGGGTCTTGGTTTGCCTCGACTACGACCTTTGGCATGGCCACGTCCCCTAGTCATCACAGGCTTGGAAGCTACAGCCCGATGCTTCTCCACCAGTGGTCCAAACTCCGCTGTACAAAACACACAGCCAGTCATCTCAGTTGCCTCATTCGGTAATTTGCTCTTGTCCTCTTTATACTGAACTGTGATGAGTTGCGCACCACATTCACAAACGTCAGTGTCAACAGTCACCTTGTGAGCATTCTCAAAGAAGTGAATAATAACATCACATCTGTTACATCCTAATTTCCATTTTGGTGCTGCGGATGGATCCAGCACTAGAATACCAGCTTCACACTCTGGACAACTCGAGAGACCATTTGAATTTAATCCATGAGGACAGGTTGGGTGGGTGCAAGAATTACAGCCAGTGTTTCCTTTCTTCATGTCCCTGGAAGAAAAAGTGTTCTTTCGTCTTATGCACATTATTTTCAGAGTTTTTTTAGGGAGAGTAGAAGAATTTCACTCTCGATTATTTAAAAAGAAATGGTCATAACTTCTATTACGAAAAATCAAAATATTGTTCATATCACTATTGACATATCATAGAATTGGGGGTCAAGAACTGATTAAATTGTTGGCGAAATGAAATAATATTTTTTTTTACATAAGAATTCCTTTTTCTTGCTTTTCAATGAGTGTAGACTGAGCTAAATTCAGTACCGGAGTGGTAAAACGGTACAAGTCAACTTTGACTATTGACCAGTTTTCAATGAATATCTGGGAAGAGAGCTACAACAAATGTAATTATGAAAATTTCGCCATCTCCCTTAGATTTGGAAATATTTCTCAAAAACTCAACTGTAAAATAAGTTGACTTAAACCGTTTTACCACCTCGCTACTGAATTGATCGATTTTTTGAGTTAATCATTTAATGATTTGGGGAATTCATGAGGTGCAGAAAAATATTGTAAACGAATATTTTTGCAGCATTCACAGTGATTTGAGATACTTAAAATCATTGTTTCAGTTCTCGCAGATTAATTTCGTCTCTCGTTGTTTCATGAAAGGGAATGAATCAAAAAGTTCTTCACAAAAATATATAGAAGGACACGTTTCGTCATTTATAATGCTGAGCTTAATCAATGAATTTCCCTTCAGTTGTAAATACTTGTAAAGCAAGCCAAAAGTATTAGTTTTACCTTCCCTACACTCTCTGATTCATTAATAAGTATTCGAGATACTCAAATCATTACTTCCTTCCTTATAGATTAATCTAGTGTTTCGTAGGTTCGTAAATGTAATCAATAAACCTAAAAGTTCACAAAAGAAGGCACAAGAAAAATAAGAACCCTAGTGGAAAATCCAAAATTATAGCGTTACATACCTGATCAGAATCTGATATGGTAACTTGATCAGTGTCTGATCAAGACCTGACTAAAATTTCCACTCGGGAAGATAATGAAATGTACCATTTTGACCATTTTTTAAATGTTAATAATTCCTTGAATTGTTGATGGAATGCTCTAATTTTCATTTTTTTCTGTACAAATTACACTTTTTTTAAAAATGAATTTAGACTCAACTCAATTAGTAAACTTGCAATCAGTAAACTGCTTCATTAGCAATAACGAGACATTCAGAGCATTGTTTGTATATTTTGAGATTGATCTATTCTTTCGTTAGTTCATGAAAGAAACGAGTGGACTAAAATGTTCTTGGAAAAAAAAAATAAAAAAAAGGACACCTTTTATTCTTTTTATTGAGCTTACACTCAGCTTCATCAATGAATTTCTTTTCAGCTGTAAATACTAGTAAAGATGGGGAAAAACCACTCAAATCATTATATCGATTCTCAGAGATTAATCCATGCATTGAATAAATAAAAAACTTCACAGAGAAAAACAAATAAAAGAAGTGGAATGTACACTTTTAACTCATTGAATTATGGATGAGTGGGATATACTCTTTTTCATAAAGAATACACCTTTCCCTTTTCTTCCTGAGTTGTAAATAAAAGAAGCAAAAGTTCGTTTTACCTCCCTTACGCCAGAAAAATTAGTAAATTCATAAGGTACACGAAAAAAAATATAGACAAGTCTGTCTGCTTCATTAGTAACCACAAGACATTAAAATCATGGGTTCTATCCTCAAAGATTAATCTCCTCTCTCGTTACGTCTTGAACGAAACTACTAAATCGTTCATTTAGTATCTCAATGTATCAGAACTGTGTCATCTTTATTAAGAGCATAGGATTTTTCCCCCAAAATCCCCCCGCAAATCCTTCCCTTGTATGAAAGATTTGTGGTGAGCAAAATATGCAACGTGAGATTGCGTAATGAAAATTTTAATTAAGGAGGGAAATAAACTCACCTGAATGGCGGATTATTATAACAATATGGACAGAACGTGTAACTCTTGCCTCTGGTACCAGTCGACCACGACAATAGTTCAAAATCGTCGAGTGGACACTTGAGCTCCTTATAAATTCTGATATTACCATTTTGTGGTAAATTGTAAGTCTCGTTACAATGGGCGCAGTGAAGTCTCGATGGTTTTGTCTGGATGTATTTCATGTAACGACGACACTTGCCACATCGCGAGTGAGCTTTGCCCGAGGCAGAGAGAGGAGAAAAGGATACCTCGAATAATTGATCCATACCATCGATACTCTGAACAAAGTAATGGAATTTTTGTTTGAATACTTCGATTGTGTGCTGCAGTACAGCGTAGAAATCAGCACGACCGAGGGCTATTAAATTCAACTGCTCCTCAACTGCTGAACGCATCGTTGGGAGGACTAGGTCCGGATCAATCTGCAATTAAAGGATCGTCGTTAGAGTTTATTGTGAGTCGTTGGGTCTAATAGAGTTATTGGAAAGTGGAGGAAACTCATGATTCTATCAACCTGTTTATCGGTCTAACTCGATCAATATTTTGAAAGGGAAAGTGATGGGATCCAATTTATGCAGCTAATGGAGCAAGAAAGATTGAATGACTCTTTACGATCAATAATGTCTCTTTCCATTCTTGTAAGAAAGTTTTATGACTTTCATTTTAAAGGTGTAACTTTCTTAACAGATTTGATATTGAAGTGATGCAGGGTGGGAGGTAAATCAAGGGGGAAAATATGGATTATCTCGCTGATAACTTCGAGAGCAAGGGGTTTAGAGAAATTTATGATGGTTTTTCTGTAGTGAATTTTATGAACTACAAAAACGATATCATGTTTTTCCACGAATCCACCAGTCTGATGGAAGAATAACATACATCAATTCACTTTGATTTCAGTTTTTTGAGAATATTTCTAAATTGAAAAAGATTTCCGAGTTTTCAGAGATATCTTTCTCGCACTGAGACAAAAAATTTGTTCTGCCGAAAAATTATATGTTGACTTGAAGAGATCTTTTGTTGAATTGATTTACTTGTGGACAAGAAAAAGTTTCCACCAAAACATGATAATTTTCGTAGACATTTATGAATGTTTGCGTCTATTATACCTTCAAAAATTTAATTTTGTTGAAGCTTCTCACATGGCTTTCTTATTATTCAAAGAAAGACTTCAAAATTTTTTTCTATGAATTTTGTGAGTTTTTGACCATGTTTTGCATCTCAGCAGAGGTCAATTGTTTTTTTCAAGCTTCCAATATCTATTTTCGATGGACATTTTTCGTTCCTTCGATTGACCATGGTGCCAATTAGTTCACATCGTCAGAAATACTTTAAAATCGCAACAAAAAAATAGAAAATTGTGCGTGATACCCCCTTCTCCCACCTCGATTGAAGATTTTTTTTCTTTCCTTAACCAAAGTGACTATTTTTATGAAACAAATTAACAAATTACTGGGATTCGGATCCGTTCTATCTAAAAAGAATACACCACTAGTGTTCCACCGATACTATTGGAAAATTCTGTAGAAAATATTTTAGAGACAAATCAATAGACTCATATTCTTACATACAACTCATTCTATTGAGATATCTTCATTCCTCACTATAATTTTCTTGCACTGGTTTTGTTTTCCTCTACACATTTTCCAATAGAAATCCAATAGAATCTTTTAGTGAATACGGTATATTTTTCTGTGAAATTGTTCCATAAGTGAAATAAAAAATCGAAATAATTCCATTCCCATCTAATTTGATTTTTTCTTTACAATATTTCAAAATTAAGGAAAAACAGTGAAGTTTTTTTCAAAGGATTTTGTGACATTCAGAAGGGAAATTGTGTATCGAGATGATTTAATTTCTCCTCACTTCCTATATTTGGGAAATATTCTCTAATTTAATTGACGTATTGATATTTTCCAAAGCAAAAAATTGAAATTAAGTTTTTGCTAATTGTAAAAGTGAGAACGAAACTCCACGTGAAAAAGCAATAATTCTAAATCTCATAAAATTACCTTTTGATACCCATGAACAAGCACAATTCCTAGGGAAGTGGGAACAAGCTTCCTCCCGGCCACAACACTCACATAATTCCTGATGCAAATATTATTAATATGCACGGGTATAGAAGCATCAGTTCCAATTCCATGTTTCTCCATAAGCGTAATCAACTCCGATTCAGTCAAGTAATCCGGGGGCTGTGTGTAGCACTCTAGGAGCTTAGTCTCCTGGATATTCACCCTGTCCCCGATATTGAACCTGGGCAGGGCTTCATTAGCGCCCAGAGCCTGCCAAGTCAGGAGACTCGTGTATCCAGGATCAATGAGGGTAGTCCCAGTCAACGAGAAACTCTCAATCCCAATCTCAAATTTAACAGTCGTACTGAGGTACTTGCAGTCTTTGGCAAGAGTGGCAATGAAGTGTCTAGTGATGTAATCATAAATCCTCCAGGATTCACCATCGAGTTCATTTCTGGAGGCAGGCTTCATGGGGGTGATGGGAGGATGATCCCCAACATCGTGCCCCTTCTTCGGTCTGTTAATTCCACTCGCTAGAATTTTTCTCACGTCGTCTCCCCACTCAGAACTATTCTGCTGCTGCCTCAGAGTAGCCAGAAGGTCAAAATTCTCTGGATAAGAAGTCGTCTCAGTTCTGGGGTAACTGATGTATCCCTGGGTGTACAGACGCTCAGCAATCTGCATGGCATGGTGAGGCCCCATCCCAAGACCAGAGCTCGACACCCTCATCAACTCCACAGTGTTCAGGGCTATTGGTCTCCCTTTAGTCTTCTCAGAGCTCGAGATATTGACGATTGTTGCTTGCTCGTGCTCCTTAACATGGGACAAGAATATATTCGCGATTTCTTTGTCGAAGGAACGCCCCCTGGACCAGCTGAGGACCATATCCTGGCCCTCAGAGGTCTTAATCGTCACTTGAAGGACCCAGTAGGGGTCAGGCTTGAACGTCTGGATCTCGTCGTGCCTCTGAACGCAGAATCCAAGCGTCGGGGTCTGGCAGGGACCGTAAGAGATCAAGGAAGCGTCCAGGTCCCCGTATTTTCCCTGGAAGAATTTAGTCTGGAATCTAGTGAAGGCACAGCCGATACGGAGATCCAATTCTTGTCGTGCATCAACACTTCTAGCTTCGTTCTCGTTGGGCTTGACGAGGTTCTGCAGGGCTGCTTTGATGTCTCGATCTGTGATCGCTGAGAATTTGGCTCTCCATATGTTGTGAGGGCTCAATGGGGGATTTCTTCGCTCCTGGACTGCCTGGATCACCTCGAAGCAGATGTTCTCACCCTCCTTGTCGCAATCCAACCAGAGGATGAGGTAGTCACAGTGGGAGCCTTCCTTCGCGAGGAATGCCGGGATTCGCAGCTTCGGAACTGCCTCCTTCTTCTCGGTTTGACAGATGAATAATTCTGCTGGGTCTACTTTGTCCCAGTTGTTGTATTTGCCGATGAAGTCCAGACTCATCACGTGACCGCAGACTGATGTCATTTTAAAGCTGACGGTCTCTGAACGGAATTGACCGATCCATTCGTGCACTGAGCACGAACCGTTCATCCCTGAAAACAATTTGTTATAGGTTTTTAGTAATGGGTGGGATCATGAATGGTTTGATTATCAAAGTAGTCATTGGGGCTTGACCTGTGACATTGAAGAGTTTTTAAGGATATCCAAGTATCTCTTACAGTTTGGTAGAGACCATCCTGTAGATTCAAACATTTTCAATCATCGAATTTGTTAATTAAATTGTGAGAAAAAATTTATTCAAATTACATTTTGCACGGAATTATCATTTTTTAAATCATTCGTTGTTTGTAAATAAATAACTGAAATTGTTTAAATTTCTATTCAACCGTTTCATTTCTTACTAATTGATTTTTCGGTCATAAATTTGAAATTGAAATTGTTTGAACTTTCGGAAACCTTATTTTTGTTTGAATCGTCACGATATGGTACCAAACAATAAATTAGAGGGCTCAGAAAATGTTTTAAATGTTCAAAGAAGTTCGGCTACTGGATCAGGTAGATATTAGGAAATTCATCTTACATAAATTCACACTACAAAGTTTAGAACAGGGGTTGAGCTATCATTAGAAAAAAAATTAAAAGAATGGGATAGAAATTAAATAGTAGGAAAAGACAGTGATGACTGAAGAAGAATAGCATTCTCAGTTTTCATTTTTTAATTCATTCTTTAATTAATCTCCCTGAATTTACAAAAGATAATATAATATGAATGTATGAAAAGAGCATCATAACTTTTTCTGCGCAAAAAATTCGCTTCGAGCGTGTCAATTTGTTTTTCTACGTGGACTGGCAAAATGTGGTATCAAATAATAAATTACAAGACTCTGGAGATACGTTGAATGTTCAAAAATTTTGGCTGCTGAGCCAGTCCGGTATGGCTATATTTACCTTACGTAAATTCACAGAAAATAATTTTTTGGAGCTCTCATTCCACTCTTCAAAAAATTAACCTACAAATTTTTTCCAACTCTTCGATTGCCAGGTATTCAGCAAAACCACTCAATTATTGCACTGTCGAATTTTACCTATATTGTCGTATAATTCGTGGAAGTTTGAGTTTTTTTGACGTTCTAAGAATGTTTCAACTTTCTAACCTACCTTTTCTGTTAGAACACTTCCCATTGCTGAGAATATTCGCCAGAGAAGCCGCAAGGGACGGCTTCTCAGCCACCATCAACGCAGTTTTCATTTTTCAGTACTTTTTTCAGGAATTCTTTAATTCATTGACTATCCGATACCGATAACAATGGTTTTTACAAAGCTACTCCACTTTTTGACGTCTTCATGGCAGCCGCCATGAGCAAACACTACCTGCTCATCTGAACACAGATACACAGATAACTCCGAAGAATCTAGCATGCAATCTGTAATAAACAAAAACAAACCAAAAAAGTAATCGGGGGAGGGTGGGGTAAAATGAGCACTTTAGACCTTTTTTAAATTATTCATAACTCAGAAACAAATTTATCAATTGAGCTCAGTTTAGGCTCGTCACAAAGGGAAAGAGTTGTCCTTTGTATGGAAAAAAAATTATTAACTTTTATCAACATTTCAACCCCTCATTAACATTTTAAAAAAAAGTCAAAAGTGTCTGCTTTACTCCATCCTTCCCTACTCTAATTTTGGAAAATCTTACGCTATTTTGCCGTGGAATTTCCTTAAAAACGCGGGTGCCACCACTGAATTTTTTGGTGATCATGGTACAGTGCCATGGATTGGAGAATATGAAAAAATTTCACAGAAAAGCCTAGTGAATTCTAGACAATTTTATTGGATTGCTATTGAACTTTCTATTAGTTTTTGGCCGCTTCTATTGAAAGGTTCAAAAGAAAGTATTCTATGAAAAGCATCAATAGAATGCGATTTTTGTATAGAACTTATTCTAACTGAGATATTTTCTATAGAATTTCCTCACTTCAAATCTTCCAAGTTTTTTTGTTCCATTTTCTTGATGGAAGGGGAAAGAAAAATTTGGAACTCGTGTGATTGGCACTTCACACTTATGAAAATTCCATCTCACTCGTATCGAAATATACTATTTCCAGGCAGATATCACAAAAAAAGTTTTGTTGCGGCCTAATGACGAAATGTACTAATTTCGTACGTGTAGCACACAAATTTTTGCTAGAATTCTTTCTCCGAGTATGCCACTTTTATTATAGGCTAGTGAAATTACCACACCGGCAATATGGATCGCAAATGGTTTCTTGTGTATGTCCGTTCTGAGTAATTCCTCATTTCGAGGTTTGATTTAATCACGGCAATGCGCCATGCATACAGAGTATTGATTGAATGAAGATTCATTTGTTTTTTTCAAATTTTCATAGAAGGTCAACAACAGGGCGGTTTTCTCAGTTCTGGTGATTGTCCGTACGTTCTTGCATTTTCCCTGTTTGGTGCATTCTGTGTTTATTACAGATCAGATGCCAAATTGTTCGGAGTTATCTGCTTATCTGTGTTCAGATGTTTATGAGATCTGGACCTACCCCAAATGAATCGATCAACAGTGGGGCGGGAGAACTAGAATCAGTAACAACTCATCACTCATATTTGTTCCATTTAATTTCATGTTTCGTCTACAATTGTGTAAAAATTCATCAGTAACAATCAATCAACCTGTCATTAATAATTAAAATGAGAGTATTAGATCACTGCTTAATTGGCAAAAAACGTAATAAACAATACAAAAATAAGGTAACTATCTATTCGAAAGAGTTCTGTCTAACTTCGAACACCGGACTGAATGGTGAAAATCGGGAATAATGGTTACGTGCGAGTATAGCGTCTAGGTAGATATCACAACGAAGGATCACAACGCCCGAGGGATTCACTTTGACCTTGATCTTCGTCTCGGGAACTAGGATACCGTACTTTTCTTCCTCGTAGAGATCCTGCAATAGAAGCAATTCGTGTGAATAAAATGAGAATCAAGAACTTGAAGCAATGGTTATTGCTGCTAGCAATTGCCCATCAAAAATCTTGCTGGCTCTTCAAAACTTCATGTCGATGGCTAGATAACAGGCAAGTGTGTCAGCATGCGAAATCTATTGTTCTTACACTTGTCTATTATTTGTCTTCATCAATGCATGAAGAGTAATTTTGTCATAAATTCGTCAAGTTGCTCTTCATGCATTGGTAAAGTTCCTTTCTATGCATTCCCTGCTCCAGTGAAGTGAATAATAGTGTTAAACGGTCAAGGTTCCCCTTGCAGTTGTTGAATTTTAGAATTGTCCTGTTATTAATTTTTGGAAACCAAAAACTTCACATGTCCCAAAGACCTTTAAGCGAAATGCACTTCACTGCCGACCGAAACGATTAATTAAACCGTGGGAGAATTGAAAAATATCTCACCTCAACTTTGTAACCTTCCGAAAAATTCAGTCCCAATTCCATCAGCGTAACTGACACATCCGAGGGCGTGCCATCCGTTCTCCTATTCACAAAGGCAAGAGCGTAAGAGTAATTGTTCTGGTACACTGGAGTAATCGGTCTAGCCCAAATTTCGATGCCTTTGTCCTGGAAAAATCATTGAAAACTTATGAATAATGAGATCACCAAGTCATTGAGGCTATTCAAGAATGTGTCTATTGTATATTAAGGAACAAAATTTTGTTACACAAAGCTTTTATGGACTAATAAAAAAACCACAGGTTGATAATAATTCTATTAGCGAATTAAGGCCCGGGTGTACTGTCTTTAGAATGTTATCTCGAGGTTTTTTTTCATCTTTCGTAATCTGAATGATCATGAATGAATAGTCAAAAAAAAGTAGAAAAAATTCTTAATTTTTTCAAAGAGCATTTTTAATTTATATGCAGAATAAGTTGTATAACAAAAAATTGAAAAATGTATCTGATTTACGCTGACAAATAGCGGCCTGTCACCCAATATCATGCAGGAGGAAGACAGATTTCGTAAATCTTTTCCCACACTGCACAGAGACATTTATTACGGAAAAGGTTCTTTGAAAAAAGTTGTAATATTTTGGAGAATTTTTTAATCACACTTTTATCACATAAAAATGGCAGATGACTACATACCACTGTTTTGAAAATTGAGATACCTAGCTGTCACTTCCCATGAGGAGTTAGTGTTTTGTTATCCACCATGGAAAATTACAGCTAATAGATAATTTGCCACAGCGAATCAGATATTTGTAATTTCCACTTTTTTCAACTCATTCTGAATCTCAATTAAAAACGCTCTTTGAAAAAGTTCAGAATTTTTTCAATTTTTTTTTTATCATTCTATTATAATTTTTGGGAATTTCTACATGATGTACCACTCAATTGACAATTTTGGATTACGAAAGATGAAAAAAATCCAGATAACATTCGAAAGATAGTACACCCGGGCCTTAATTTCCTACTTTTAAATGTTGGATAACCACAAAGAAAAACCCCCGGTTTTTATTTCACACAAAACAAACATTTTTTGAAAGCAAAATAAAGTCAGTAGTAAATAGTATAGAACAAGGAATGTTTGCCCAAAAAAAATGTCAACTTTTTGAAAGAACGAAATCTATTTTTGCGACGAAAAATTGTCATCTCAGAAAATTCTCCAAAGGTTCAGCACAAGATCTTTCATTCTTGCTCACCATTTTTTTAGTTCAAATAATTTTTGTTGTTAGCGTATTTTATGTGAAGAAAATGAGATATTGATCGAACCTTGTAAATTCTGCGTCCTTGGATGCCCAATGGGTCCTGATCAACAGCAATGATCTTTTTATTTTGAAGAATGGCTTTGTACTCAGGCCTTATTGTCCTGAGGTCCACTGACATCAACAGTGGTGCAGCGAAGATGGCCCAAAGTGCCATTTGCGTTTTACTCTGTTCGTAACTGAGCCCAAAGTTACCGATTATCAGCATGTCTGGATCATTCCAGTGGCCTGGTCCTGCATTTGGCACAATGCTGTCTTGATTGTCACCATAGTAATCAATTATCGTCTCCACACTCGCCCAGGAGTCCTGAATGTCATTGTAGTTTCTCCAGAGATTGCAGTGGTTTATTATGCTCGTCCAATTTGGCTGGAATTTTAAAAATTATTATCTTTTAAAATCATTCCCTATAACGAATGCTACAGTTTTGGATATATTTCATTCTCTTATTTTCCAACTAAAGTCCGTGGAAAACTGTTGGGAAAAAATTGAAATTTCGAGGGCCGTTGACTAGTAATATTCAGGGGAGCGACACTGAATTCGATTTGAGAGGAAAAGAATCATTAAACTTCAAGATTCACTGAAAATTCAATGGAATTTGAGACTTTTTGAGCAGCACAAAGACGAAAATTGCCCAACTTACTTGAATTTTCAATCAAAACATGTACACTCAGTACCAATTTACGTTGCATTTCTGATTAATTGAAAATTCGGGAGTATATTTACCTGATTTTTTCTGTTTTCTATTAATTTTCATGAAATAATTGAACTGAAATCTATAGTTTTCACTGATTTTGCCACAAAATATTAAATTTTCAATGTCAGAATTCTTTGAAATTTCAATGAAGCTAAAATGTGATAAAAATTTCCTCAGAAGTGTACTGGACATTTCAGCCAAATTTTCTCAACAGTGTGACATAATCAGTATCAACCACATTATATTCTGCGATATATTGGTATTGTTTAAAACATCTTTTTCTCGTGAATTAATAAAGGAACGTAATTCAAAAACAGCCAATCATTGTCTACATAACGTAAAAACATTCCTCGATTTTTTCATTTTTAGTGACAAAAGAAGGTTCAATCTTCTTTCACCACCGAAATATCCTAAATTGTTGATTTTCTCATGAGCCAATGGGTTAAAACTCGATATTTCAACATTGTCAGTTAGCGCAATAATAGGAACGAGCATGCGATGGAGCACGAAATTATGGTTACAGAATCTAATTATATTTTTCATCAATTCCTGTCAGTATCGAATATTCTGTAAATTTTACTGAGAACTCAATGGTTTCATGTTCGAGAAAAGTTCTATAATTTTTTGGGCTAAAGAGGGGCATACAACAGCATATAATATTGCCCGGCGCGGTCCCGGCTGAGCAACGGGCTTCGATTTTCGGCAGCCCGGCCGCCGGGCTTGGACCGAGTTCGGCCCATTCGTTTTTCCCTACCTGGGAAGTGCAAACATTTTGAGATCTAAGCCATTGCAAATAATTTACTTCTTAATTTACTTCAAGTAAAGGTGGTCTACATATTAGCAAATTTTTCTCTCAGTGTACTAATCAAGAGGCTTCTAATTCGATTCTTTGCTATTATCCGGAAACTTAGTTTTTTCAATATCGAAAAAAATATCTAGAGAGTATAACGAACAAAGCCATATACGGTTATGTGTAAGAGAAAACGGTTCAAGACTTTGAATTCTTGGATGAAAGATGGGAGAATACAGTTCTAATAGACGCAATGTGTTAAATTTCGTTTTTCAAACATCGTTTTCTCGAAAAACGAAATAGTATATCTCAGGGCGAGTGCCATGGAGTTTTTTACTCGCGTGGAGTTGGCGTTTGAGGCGAAGGCGAGGACTGGCCAACCACGCGAGTAAAACAACCCCATGGCACTAGCCGTGAACGATATTTTTCCGTAGTGATTTTCACCTTTACGAGTTTGGGGAAGGGCCAATACCAATTTCCGGACGAGGAAAACTGAAGATCAGTACGGAAAAGTAAGTTTTTCGGAAACTAAGGTTGATATTATGCCCAAAACATACTCTTGGTTTATTCTAAAAACTCTGGAAAGGCTTTTCCCGAGAAAAATTGCCCGAACTACTTGGAATACCCGATTTCTTCTTAATGAGTCGTTTTCGAGAGAAATATGAGAAAAGATTTCTCATAGGTGAGACAATCTCCATGAAAATAATGTCGCCTAATAATTTCGTGAAAAATCACTCATTACTCAGATTATAGCGCATGTTCTCATTACACTCCTGATACCATATCTTCAGTGCATTCATTCTATGTTGATACGTGAGAAACGTTTCCAATAAAGAGTGTCTTTTGACGACTGATTTCATCACTCCAATTCTGATTGTATATCTGTGATACATTCATCATTTCATTGTAATTATACAATTATCTCAGTAATGAATTGTGAAGCACAATATTAAGAGAGTTTTATGTAGGTGAAAAAATTTACAATGAAAACTATCGCAGACAATTTCTCCTAAAATCATTCATTTTCTAGATAATGACTCATTGCGTGACTCCAATTCTCCATTCATATAGTTTAATGTATTCATTATTCATATTATTGACGCATTCAACTCGGAAATGTGTCATTTTACTGACAATGTCAGAAGAGTTTGTTTGTAGTTGGTGTAATTTTTCCACTTCTAATTCTAATTCCCTGAAGTATCATCATGCATGTATTAATTGCATATACGTTTTGATTTTGGCAATGGGTGATTTCAGGTCCAAAGTTCTGAAAACTTTTCTCAGTAACTGAGAACGTTTTCAACGAAAATATATTTTTCCGAATTCCCATAAGAGCCGTGTTTAAATGCATTTTTTAGAAAAATTCAAATGTTTCACCCATTCTCCTAGAGTATCTAGAATTTTGCATACGGGTTTTGAAGAAATCAAAGAATGTATTAAAAAAATCATCAATTTCTTGACCTTTTTCGACACCCCCCACTTTTCCACTTTTTATAGTGGTCCGCGTGCGCTGTCGTGCTTCTCTTATGCCGCACAAATACCCAGACGGACTCTCTACTTCCCTCACACCGATACTTCTCCGGAGCTCCGTGCGACAATGGGTTAAAAACTAATATAATATTCATAAATTTAATGAAACCTCCTGAAACGTTTCCATATTCAAGTTATTATTGAATCTTCTTCATACGTTCACTAGTATTTGACGACTCTTATTCATTCCAACACTAGACGTTTTACCCTAAATCACTCATTATAGACATAAACGGACTTTTTATGTCTCACTTCAGTATAATAGAAGCTATCTTTAATGTTTCTAGTAGTATTCATTAGAATTTTCCATTATTCTTTCGAAAAACTGTCGGTTCGGTAAATGAAAAGAATACTTCCTCTACACGAAGAGAAATTCCTCAGACAAAGTCTAGTGGCAATAAGGTACAATTTCTAGGGATTTCTGTGAAAATTTCATGTAAAACCGGGAAAAATTGACGTGTTACTCATTAAAATTTCCAGTGCAGGCAGTAGTATTTTTCTCCGTGTAGATTCCCAACTGAAAAGGCCTTTCAATACTTTTCACAAGTTGGTGAGAATTGCTTTATACATTTGAAGATTCTCAATCATAAATTTTGTAAATTAAAATAGATCCACCCTTTCATTTTGGGATCATTCCAATAACTTCCCCCCTTCAGGTAGAGAAATTAAAAATATCCAAATACCCATAGGAATTCTATTCTATCTGTATTCACTCACAGTTATCCCCGCATAGATTTGATAAACTGGCCAGCTGCAAGAATAAACCATATTGCGCCCGGTGCTGTTCATGTGATAGCCGAACTCAGGATACCCTGAAGAGAGAAATCAAATACGATTGATGGCAATGTTTTTTATTACCTTCTCGCCATTGTGCAGAAAAATTGAGAATAATCATGCAATTGTTTATAATGGCTTTCTGAAAGAACAATCAAAATGAAAAATTACCTTTGTCCATGTCAAACGGATCGGCATAACATCCATCTAATTTGACATAATCAACGTCCCACGATGCGAACATGCTTGCATCTCTCTCCATGTGTGCAATGCTGCCGGGATATCCGCCGCACGTGTAATTGCCATAGTCACCGTAGATACCGAACTTGAGTCCTTTCGAGTGAATCTGAATCAATTTTCCCCATTACATTACGAAATCTATCATAATAATGATTCTTGCATTCATGATTTATCCATAATAATAGCGAAATTCATAATTCATGGAAACTATGGGAATAATGAGAAATTGATGTGAGAATACACAGTTTAATTCTCGTAAATCACTCTTCAAATGGGAATGTGAGAAAATTACTCCGTCGGGAAATATAGATATAGATAGGGCAAAATGGAGTGTTTTTAATTATCACCATGTGGGCGTTAGCTGCGTGAAATTTATCAAACACAACGCAACCAAATTCATTTTATTCCATTGATAATTTAGCCAGGAGAGCCACATTGAATTCAATTCAGGGGGATTTGGAATTTCTTTAGCAGAAGAAAGACGAAAATTTCTTAACTCTCTTGAATTTCTAATTAATTGAAGATGTAAAAATATAATCATTTGAATGTTTCTAATTTCTATTAATTTTCATAATTGAACTAAAATAGAAAGACTTACTCATCAAATTGTAAATTTGTAATAATTAAATTCATTGAGTTTTTTTGGAACAGAGAAAAAATATACAGTATTGGAAAAAAGAATGGTAACATTAATTCAGTAGCGAAGCAGCAAAAAGGTTTAAGCTCCTTTGACTATTGCCCAGTGTTCAATGGATATCTCGAAATTTAAGGGAGATAGGAAAGTTTTTGTCATGACCTTTTTTAAAGCTCTCAATTCGCTCTACAAAAAAGGTCATTACGAGAATTTTGTTATCTCCCCTAGATTCGGAGATATTCTTCAAAAATTCAGCGAGAGGCTAAATCGACTTGGAGCGTTAAACCACTTCGCTAGTGAAATTCGAGTCAGGGGAGAAAGAATTGTAAAATATCAAAGTTTTCAACAGCAGAAAGACAAGAATCCTCCACTCGAACTTCCTCGAATTTTCAGTCAAAATACGAATATTCAGTACCAAATTACACAGAATCTTCCATGAATTGAAACTTCAAGAATATATCTACCTGAATTTTCCTTATTTCTCCTCATTATCATGAATCACTGAAAGTGAAAGTTTCCATTGAGTTATTCATAAAATTCTGAATTTTCAATGAACAAATGCTTTGAAACTCCAGTGAAACTGCCATTTCATTGCTTTCAAGAACACCAGAAATTTCACACAAAAATTTTCAAGAATGTCTTCATTCAAATAATAATTCAAGTTGCATCATAAAATCAATTTCAGTAATTAATTTGTGGTCTACATGAATTGAAAAGATTCTTCTTCTGGTGTTTATATTGTTTATCCAGGACAAATGAGTATTTAAATTCATATTGCCCGGGACTAACTTCCATGAAAATCCCTGATAATAACTCAATTCTCTCAACATTACTCTCACCAAGAAATGTGAAATAAATCACACACGCAAAAAAAGAAAGTGAAAGAAGTTTCCTCGATCGTAAAGAACCCCAAACAAATTGCGTATTAATTTGTTACATGTAGATTCGACAATTAATAGTTTTCTCATTCGACAATTATCGGTAAAAGTGATGGAAAAAATATCATAAGTAGCATGAAAGATCAAGATTGGAGGAAAAAAAATCAAGCTGAAAGATCACTCTGACACACCGAGAAACTAGAAATGTGAATGAAAGAAATTCAGCATGAAGTATGTGGAAAGCAAGTGAAGGTGAACAGGGAGTGTTGGAAATAGCTACAACTGTTGCAAAAACTGGATGTTCCGGATGGGATAGGATGATCTTACATAATCACCGAGATCCTTGAGTCCATACGGGAATCTCTGGCGATCTGGGATGAGATCGTTGGTGGGCCCACGGTTTTTTTCCGACCAGCAGTCATCGATATTTATGTAGTTGTATCCGAGATCAGCGTAGCCCTCAGCCACCACAATATCTGTCATTGTCCTGAAGAGTTGATCGCTTCAAACATAACTTTCAATCAATATTCAGAGAGAAAAAACTTCATCAGAGAGAGGAAACTTCATCAATATTCAGAGAGAAAAAAATTCTACACTGAGAGAAAAATTTCCCAATATGTAGATCATGTTTACTTGAGAGAAGTAAATTACTTTTAATGGCTTACATCTCAGAATATTTGCGCTTCACGGAACTCGAATAAATTCTCATTTATCGCTATCGTTGCGCGTTACATCATGAATGTATTCCATATCGAAACAGAGGTGCATAAAAAATCATGAAACCATTAAATATATATTGCGACAATGGAAAAAATAATAAATAAATTTCCGACGAAATCATATTTGAGTACAAGAATATTTTAAAGCATGAGACCTTTCTCAGGCCACATGAGTTGAGATGCCTAGGAGAATTAAGTGATTGAAAAAAAATTACTTGTCTCAAGTAAATATGCTTCAGATATCAGAGACTTTTCTTCTCGGTGTAGTTTCGAATACGTCTCTAAAAAATTCGTACTGAAATCTAGGGAGAAAAAAATTCTGAAAAGAAGTAAAATTTTCGTATTTAATATATGAAAATTGTCCCTCAAAATGAAAGAAAAAAAGTTCCAATTATCAGTCATTTTTACTTAAATCTAGTATAAATGTACTTAAACTACATTGCTTCTTATTTTAGGAAAATGTAAGGTCTTGAAAAGTCTCGTGTCAAGAACATTCAGGTTCTCAATTTAGGAACAGTCTCGTTCTTAACCCTTAAGGGTATTATGGCGGGGTCCATAGCTGGAAAAAAAGCAGAGAATTCAACGAAAATTGCTGGACAGATTATTCAATCCATTTGAAAGCCGTGTGCAAAATGTCAAGACCCCTACTTAAACAGTAATAATGGGAATAATTTTTGAAGTTGCTACTTATACACGCAGTTGAATGGGGCATCGGTAATTTTTGTGAATTTCCTACGTTATGAATAGATTCAACCGCGTGTATAAGTAGCAACTTCAAAAATTATTCGCATTATTATTGTTTAAGTAGGGGTCTTGACATTTTGCACACGGCTTTCAAATGGATCGAATAATCTGTTCAGCAATTTTCATTGAATTCTCTGCTTTTTTTTCCAGCTGTGGACGCCGCCATAATACCCTTAAGTGGTCGCAGCTCTCCACCGAACGTTGTTGGTCGTACGGTAAGAGAATCCACACCCCGTGTATTTTATGATTTTAAGAAAAAAAAATTTATTCCACGTCCACGGGTTGTTTTGAATTTTCAATGAATAAGAAATGGGGGTATAGAAGCGAAATCGTTTTCAGATAATCCAAAAACTCGATTTGAAAAAGTGCAAAATTATGAAATTTTGAAGCTAAACATGGGGATTTTCAGCGAGGTGAGTTTTCAGAAGATTTTAATAATTCATTGGTGTACGTCTGGACCGAAAAAAATACGTTGATGTGCTCCATATATTTGAAAGTAAGAATACACATTTTTATGGGTTTTTCATTCACCAAGTTTTTGTGTAAAAATAAAAAATAAAAAAACGGCGGGGATTCCCTCATTATCGACCACTTAAGGGTTAAACTGATGCTTCCGCTTATTTGAAAATGAATAGGTTCATGTTTATAAATTCACACTTTGAAGCACCATTTGACACTTTGATTCAATTAATGTCAAATTGATCTTCAGTTATTTCAATAATTTTATTTCTTTCCATCCTTCTTAGTTGAAAAATACGAAAGTTCTTAATTTAATAACAGAAACGTGACCATTCTTAATTTAAAAATCCAATAAACTTTTCTGCCTTGAAATAAGTAGATTTTTGAGACTAAATTCTGGCAATTTTTCTTTAAAGTTAAGTAACCAATTTTTAATTTTCAGTACAATACTTTCTCAAACCATGAGTTTCTCGAAATCCGTAACTTGGTTTTTGAAACTAAAAACTTTCGTTACTGTTAGGGGGGGGAGGATTCTATTTGATTTTATGTCACGCGATTT